ATGATGTATGTTAGTTATGTTATGTCCATTCATGCATGCATTTCATGTCCATCCATGCATGCATGTTAGTTATGTCCATCCATGTATGCATGCATGCATTTCGTGTTGCACGACATGCCACGTGGTCAAAAGCTATTCGGTGGTCATCCAATAAGACAAGAACTGGCCAACAACCCACGTGGCCCGTCACAATCTCTTAATAATTTCGCGGGAAGCACGAGTCAGCATTTCGGTGAGCAGAAAACAAATACACACCAAGTGGATCCCCCAAACTAATGCTTCCATGTACACCTACCGCAGGATTGTTATCCTGTGATCAATCCGGGTCCAGAAAGTTTGCCCCACGTGATCAAACGAAGCATCAAGCCCAATGACGTTGCTGTTTCAGGGAAGTTAACGTGCGGCACAGACGTAGGGGATCAGTGACCAATGGGATACGTTCCAGAGGGTTCTTTCGTAAAATCTCTCCAACCAATCATGCAATGCAATACAACCAAGTTTCACATAAATATCAAATTTTATTTTATTTTAGTTTTTATGAGAGATTAAAAAAAGGTTTTCCTATTATTTTTTATGTCCTTTTTGGTAAAAAGTTGGTGGGAAGGAACCTTTTTAAAACAAATCAATGATTAGTTTGCTAATGGATTGGTGGCTGTTTTTTTGGGTGTCTTTTTGTCTGTACATTTTCTCTCACTCATCACCACAAACCAAAAGCGCAAATTACTATTTTATTTGGTTTTAAATTTTACCCCAATATTTATGAAGTGAAAAATAATAATTTGCAAGGCAACCAAATAATTAATAATACTTTATTTCGGCTTGATTTTTTTTATTTTTTTTATAGCCAAATTGATTTATTTTCTATTGTTGGGAGAGGGTTTGTTGGCCTATGCTTAGCTGTGAAAAATGACAATTATGAGCCGAAAAGAAGAAGAAAAAAGATCTTTTGGGGATATGAGAAAGTTTTGGTGCACACTGCACAACAAAGACCTACCATCTCCTTATTCTTTTGCCATTGTCAATAATTGACGAAGGTTTGAACGTATTTGTAAGAGTTACAACGAAAGTTAAAAAAGGCACCAAACACGTTCCCATCTCCCACTATATTTATGGCCACACTTCGGGATGATAATGTCCGACAAAATTTGATACAGGACTCGAAATCCGTATGGAAAATTAACAGGTCAATTCATATTATTACATTTTCGAGTCATTTTCAGGTTAATTCTTCATGATCCATTTAATAAAAGGGTAAGTTTCGGATTAACCTACCAACCCGCTAAAATACGTATGTAACCCATTTATTAAACAAGTCAACTAGCTAACCTGCAAAAATACCTATTTAACCTACTAAAATACCTATGTTACCCGTCAACCTGCTAAACTCTAAACCCGTCAACCCGTTAAAATACCCGTATAACCTGCTAACTCGCTAAAATACATGTATAACCCACTAACCCGCCAACCCGCTAACCCGTTTCTTTGTTTATTCTTCATTTTTCTAATTATTTTTAGTTCGTTTAGTTGCTGTCACTTAGCGAGTCAACCCGATACACGACTTGAAACCCACACAGGAAATGAGTGAGTCAACCCAACAAGACACGTTTATTAAACGGGTTCGATTTAGGTTAAGTATTCTTGACTTGTATATGATCCTTGTGTTGAGATATCTATCTACATTCCAAAATTTCCAACAATTTTGAATAAGGTAATGTTAGGAAGCAGAGTCGGTCCTGGGTTTTCTAAGGCCCAGGGCAAATTTTCTCAAGTGTGCCCCTTTATACAAATTAAACCAAAAATTAAAATAATAATAATAATATATATATATATATATATATATCAACTAATTAATTTTATTTTTCTACAAGTAAATCTCTCATTTTTGCATCAAGATTATCCCAAACTCGTGGATCATAAATGTTCAAATCAAATCTTGTTTCTTGACATTCATTTTCATGGCAAGGTTCATCAATATTTTCATTTTCATCAAGGAAAGGTTCATCACTATTTTCATTTTCATCTAGATCACCAATTTCTTCATTCACATCATTCTCATTTTCTACTAATTCTTCCAATTGAATTGGTTGTTCATATTCATTTGGTAAATCTTCATCTAAATTTTCAAGTGAAGCATTGGTTTGTTTAACAAAATATTTATTCAAAGACCCTCTTAAAATTTGAGCAATTTCTTCTTCTTTTTTCTTTCTTTGTCTCTTGAGATTTCCGGAAAGTTGTTTCTTAGGAAATAAAAAATTACCTTCAAAGAAAGGCACTAGTCTAGCTTGTGGATGATTTATTTTGGAGAAGAGGAGAAGAGGAGAATCAACCAAAAAAAAATTGCTTGAGTTCAGAGAAGAGGAGAATCACCCAAAAAAAATGCTTGCATTGGGTTATGAACTGAGAAGTCTGTTTTGATTTATTCCATAATTTGTTTATTTATTTTATATTATATTGTACAATTAATAAGGACTTTCTTACTCTTTACGTTTCTTGAGATTGAGTATATAGAGACTGATTGTGATTAATTGACTTCCCTTTTCATTGAGAAGTACAATCGGCAACTTCCTTTTTTTTTTTACACATATATACATAGGTTTAAAAAAAAAATTTGGGCCCCCTTCAGCTGTGGGCCCCGGGCTGTAGCCCTGGTGGCCCTTGCCCAAGGCCGGCTCTGTTAGGAAGATAACATTTATACAGACCATCTTGTGTGCCACGTCTCTAATAGAGGTAGAGCCTCCACTATTATTAGAGAAGTGATACACAAGGTGGTTTATAAATGTGCTCTCTCTGTCATTTTCTTTTTTAATTGCTTGGAAGACCCGTCAATTTTTTATTTTTTTTGGTGGGAATTTTGAGGTTTTGAAATCTTGAACTACTTTAAGTAGAAAATCATAAAACAAAAAAAACAAAAATCAATTACAATAAAAAATGCTATAACAACTATTTAGTAAATATCTAAAATAATAGATAAAGAAAAATATAATTAAAATGTTACTCCAACAATGCTCTATTTTGACTAAGTACCCGTTTGACATTGCTTATTTGGGGTGATAAGTGATTTTTTTAAAAAAATTGGGAAGCCCAACTCATGTAAACTATGAGAAAATCATTTATTATTAAAAATTGCTGTAAGAGAAAGCTATAAGAGAAAGCAACTAATGAGGTGCTTTCATTTTCTGGTTATGCAGGAATCAGTTTCGAAGAGGCGCTGAGTTTAATGATTATGTGACAATCATTTTCTGATTATGCGAGAATCAGTACCAACAACCCTTTTAATAAAATTTTTACCAAACGCCAAACTGCTTTCTCTCACAGCAAATTTGACAACTATTATTTTCACAGCATAGCAATGCCAAACTGGCCCTAACTCGATATTTTTTGTTAATTTTGAAAAAGTGTGACTTAATTTTGCTTCAACAGCCAACGGGGTTTATCTTAGTGGAAAAAAGCCTTGATTTGCAGACTAGTGGTTTCAGGTTTGCACCACCATGACATCGTTTTAGTGTGTGTGTGTGAAAAACACTCCTCCCCCTATAGTTTAGACTATTACTTCGTTAAATTCCTCTAGGAAGTAGAAGATTGTAGAACTCAACTGTGTTTTTTGGAGCACAACCTTGACCATAAAAGTCTTGGAGATGACAGTGAGCATCTCAAAATGACACTAAAGATTACAAGTATGTACATTGTTGCACTCCAAGTTACTACCTCATTGATAAAGCATCTTTTAAATCATAATTGAACCCTCCCATCAACTAAGTACGTATGTGCGTTCCAAACCAAATTTACAAGCTACTTATTCATTATGTGATATGTTCCTTCGATGATTACAATAGATGCTTACATCGCCGCATGTTACCATTTTTGCTAATTGGCATTGTGGATCCAGATTCGGCCACCATATATAGTGCTATGACATATTCAACACCTTCAAGACTAAGTTGAAATTCTTGCTAGTTGTGAAATGTGATCCCTCAAATCTCTTACGAGTTAGAAATATGGTCATGACTCATGATGACCGCATTCCCACTTAATTCACTAAGTCGACCACCAACCAAAGGGACTCAACCACATTTCTTAGGAGCGTTTATAAATAGGCACGTGGACTATTTTTATTAGGTGATGTGGTAGCATATGGGGCATGATACAATATGTACAAAGTGACCGTCTAGCCCAAAACCTACTGACAATATAGGTGAAGAAGCCTGAGATATTTGAAGTTCTTAACTAAGCTCTCATCCTTCAATATCTGACACTCTTAACAACCTACTAGTACGTGTGTAATAGATTAAGAAGGAAGAATGATTCAAACTTCATACATAGCTTCCCACAAAGTAAAACAAAAATGTGTTTTTAGTGTGTTAAAAAACTTGTGGCCTTCAAATCACAAAACAAAATGAACGTCACTTCTAAGAAAGAAAGAAAGAAAAGGAAAAGGATATGTATCAAAATCAACCAGGTATGGATAAAATGGATAGAAACCAGACGTAATGGAAGATCACTACCATTACCATTACCATCTCATTGAGATGAAGCTTTCTTTGTCTCCTTACCAAGCGAGTATCACCAAAACACAAATTCAAAGGTCTGGATTCATCCACTCACACCAAACCCACCCCTTTCTGGCCTTTTGCTTACAAAAAGAAACATCTCTCCCACGTGCCTTTCTTTCACATGCAAACAAATCCCATCTAACAACATGGTGGGCCCAATCACACAACCACAACCAGTCCATTTGGGCCCCACTCTTCAGTTGTCCCATCCTGCTTTTTGTGTACACTCGACCACCACGTGTCCACTTCTGATTTTTGTCTTCTCATCCTCACAATACAGCTGTCCTGTCCACGTCACACAACACAATCATTTCATGGACGTATGTTCATGATGCATGTATGTATGTTCGTGATGACCATATATTAATTAATTAATAATCAATATGGAAGTTTGAGAAATTAAAAAATAAGGGAAAATATTTGGTTGTTTCCCTCTAGGTGCAACTTTAAAAGGCCGACTCTCTGCCTCTCTCACAAGCACTCGCGAGAAAGTTTCACACAGAGAGAGAGAAAAACCAAGAAAGTTTCAGAGAGATGGAGGGCTTCACTTGCGGAACAGAATCTTGGGTTTCTTCCATCCGAAAAAACCCAGATGAGCAAACCCATCAATCACTACAAACCTCTTCTTCTTCTGAAATCATGCTAGGAATTGGAGAAGAAGAATGGCCGAAGCTGAACAGCTTGAAGAGCAAGAAGAAGAAAAAGAACCAGGTTTTGCTTGAAGGGTATGTAGAGGCAGCCGATGAGGATGATTTGTCGAGGACCAAGAGCTTGACGGATGAGGATCTTGACGAGCTCAAAGGGTGTTTGGATCTGGGATTTGGGTTCAGCTACGAAGAGATTCCTGAGCTCTGTAACACCTTGCCTGCTCTTGAGCTTTGTTATTCTATGAGCCAGAAATTCATGGACGAAAACCAGAAGTCGCCGGAGAATTCTCCGACCACAGTTGATTCGTGCCCTTCGGTTTCAAGTCCAATTGCCAATTGGAAGATCTCTAGTCCTGGTGAGTGATCTTTGTTTTTGTCAATTTTTTAATTTGTTTCCATGAAAGTTTTAGAATTTTCAGTTTTGTTGGTGGACATTATGGCTTGAACATTGTAATTCATCTGATCGAAGTGTTTTTCTTTTTAAATGATGAGGGGGGTTTAATTTTTACAACCAAAATGTGATATTTTTAGCTAGCTAGTGTTTGTAGATGAAATGATCATCCAGTTCATTGTGATTTTATTTGTACTGCAGATGAAATGTAAATTTTGGTTGTCTGACTATGGAATTAAATTTGAAATGATGAACTGGGTCCTCAAGTTTTCAGAGTGTTAGTCTTGGTAGTTGGTAGTTGTTTCAGAAAAATTCCTGTACCGTTTTTGTGACTAGCAACTCTACAACTTTTGTGTTTTTTCCTTACTTTGAGATGTGTATGCAAACCAAGTGAAGTTACTCTTGTTTTGATTTGGTTCCCGATTGATCTCTTTACTTTTGTTTCAATGTCACTTCAATACATATAAATCTTCAAACATCTGACCTCTTGGTAACTTTTTGTTTGTCCAGGTGACCATCCTGAGGATGTGAAAGCAAGGCTCAAATACTGGGCACAGGCTGTGGCATGCACCGTTAGGTTATGCAACTGAGAAAAATTAGGACTTTTTGGATTAATGCTTTAGATGAAAATTAAAAAATGGATGGGCAATTTCCTTGATTTGAAACATCATCAAATATGAACAGGTTAGACCTTCATCGGGAGCTTGCGCTTCACTGGTTTATTCTGTAATGGCTCCTGTCAGGAATGATTGTTCCTGCAATTCTAGAACCTGTTGATGATGGATTTACTCTGAGGAAGAGAAAGAGGATGATGAAGAAGAATATTTCAGGTTTGAGATGAACCAAATACCCGAGACTTGACTTAACTGTTCGAAGGCTAAACCATTGTATTGTATCCAGAAGAATGAAAACAATTCATGAATTCAATAAACCATTTTATTTCTAGTCAATGTTTCGGTATCTATGAATTCCAACCTTAGCTGTTGGTTTTTATGCAGCGGTGAGAGCCTCCATTAGAGCTTCACCAAGTACTTCCTGACCTCTTAATTTGCTGAGGTAACTAACCTAACTGAGTGAACATTGTGTG